TGTGTAGTGGGACCTGCTGGGATTTGCAAGCTGCCCCTTTCTTGTAAAATGATCAAGTTAGATGTTTGCTCATTTGGACCCAAAATTGACAGCTTGCTAAAAAGGGGTTCCCAGAAAACTCATTTATAGAACTGTCCCTGAGGTTTTGGAGTATTGTGCCAGACTGTGGGGACACTAATTAAGTATGTCTGCTTTTCTTTCCATGGGCTCTTCCCGGGAGCCATCCTGAAATAACTAGGCCCAGTCAGCCTGGTGCCCTGGGCAGCTCCATATTCATGAAATAAAATAAAGCAGACTTATCTCTTTCTTAGACAATGGCGCTCTCAGATCTCTTGTGGGAGGAGAACCTTGTGGCAAGGCTGGGGGATGAATTAGGGGATTTACATGATTTCTTTTAAAACTTTAGGAGTTATATTCCCTCAGCTCCCTTCTTTTATTCTTTGTTTTCTCACTGTGTGGATGCTTCCTGTTCTAGTGAAGGCAACACTGGATTTTTGTTATATCATCTTGTTTGGATATTTTTTTTCCTAATCTTTGGATTTTTTTTTATTCTTTGTTATCTTTTTGTTTTGAAAGCTCTTGGAAATATTCATTCAGAATCAGCCTCATTCACATTTCTTTTTTTAATTTCTTAAAATTAAAAACACAGAGGGTCTTGTATAGAGTTGGGGACTCAATGAATTTTGTTTCGTGATGATAAATCTCAGTGTAAGTGAAGGTTTCTCCTAACCAAGAATGATTGCCCATGGCCGTGACTACAGAGGCACCTGTCCGTGTTTTCAGAGAGGCAGTTAATGACCAGTCTTTTTTTTCTCCTGTATAGTTCTGACCTTATGTTGTATATCTTGACTTAGGTAGAGGTTACACAGATGTATAGATGTAAACAAATTCAGAGCTGTACGTTTAATATTTGTGCACTTCATTGTATATAAATTATTCCTCAAATAAAAAAAAAAAGAATTAAGAAACATTTTGACCAATTATAATACAAAATAATATATAGTTGGATTCTTTTTTTTTCTTTTCTTTTTTTTTGGTGTGGTTTTGGCTTAAAACAGGAGAGCACAGAATCTGAGGGTTAATCATCAAAGATATATTTCTCACAATCTTTCCATTCCCTGCCAGCAGTCGCTGGCATTAATAGGTGTTAACAAATATTTGCTGAATGGACAGATAAGTGAACCAGCTGACTTTAGTTGAGGTATTGGCTGGTTTGAATCGAAGTACCTTCTGAGTGCTTTTAGAAGAGCGTTCAGCTGCGCTTCACGCCAAGTCGCAGGAAGTGGAGGCGTGTGTGTGAGACGAGTAGTGCTCTGTGCTTCTCACTTACCTCTAAGATAATGGTTTGGGTTGATGCTTTGTGGTTTGAAGTAATAAGATGGTAAAGTTTGTGGGTTTTGTTGCAGGCCGAGAATTCTCTGAGTGTCTCTTTATCACATGTGCTTTGGTTACAATGTCTAGTTTTTATATAACTTGTGACTTAATGTTTGTGGTGAAAACTAAACATTCCACAGTTACTTGTGACGTGTAACGTGAAGACCTCACCTTCTTTCTTTTGACATGTTTTATGTACTGGTTTCCTCTCCTTGAGCCTTTTAGAAATAATAAACCTGAAGCTTGAATTGTGTGGCTTTCTTAGAGACGTTTATGGAATTTTGTGAAGTATTTCCAACTAAGTGGAAGGACCTGACCACTCAAAATGAGATGAGTGGCTTGGATTGTGATTCTTGTTAATGGATAAAGGTTTTATGGAAATAAGGCAGATCGTGAGAAAATTCTTCATTTATGGCCATGGTAATGTAGATGATACCTGGGTAACAAAAGACTTCAAAATTCTTTACCCTCAAGTCATTTATAATGCGTTTGAGGAGATGAGACAAACACATTCACGTACAGGAAATCAGTGTGGCCATCTCAGCACAGTAACAGTATTTCAGCTGCAACTTGTTGAAGTGCAGAGGGGATATCTCCAAAGCACTTTGAAGAGTGTGGATTGAAGTTAGCCAGGAAACGCTTCTCGGGTCTTGAAGAAAAGACCCAAGTGGGAATGAATGGAGGACTTTGCAGGGAGGGCGAGTGGTTTGAATGAAGATCTAGAAGTAACCAGTAATAGGGAAGGCATCGTTTGCTTTTCATGCAGTAGTGGACACAAGCTATGTTCTGGGGAGATGAGGATCTTGAAAACTAGGTGACAAAAGAAAGTCATTACCTTTCATTGCGGGCCTCCTGGTTACCTCTTGGAATCCTTAAAACCACCTTGAGAACTATTGTTGTCCCCTCTGGAAAAATAATATTGGGTGACTAGGGACTTCTCCAAGGTGCAACAGGCTGAGTGTAGGTTGGAATCCAGACCTGTTGTGGATAGAGCCTGCCCTTGCTACTTCACCATGTTAGGACAGACCTGGAAAGCGAGAGTGAGCTCTTCAAGGACCTTCAACGGGAGTGAAATGAACGTCTATGAAACCAAAGACTGAACCTGGATTCTCTGACAGACCTCTGCTTGAGGAGCTCTCGATTAGGGTTGCTTCCTTTAAAAAGGGCTTTGCACTTATGTGTGAAGAACACAGGATTGTTGGCAATGGCAGAATTTTAGGTTTTGGATACTTAGACTAGTCTTACAATATTTAGCCGGTAATGTCTCTAGGCAGTTCTAAGGAATTTATTGAATTTCAGAATGAGATCCTGGGCTTTGTCAGTGTCTCCTGACGGGAAAAGTTTACCATATACCCTGTTTCTTGAAGGGTGGTCAGGGGAATGCCCCCTTATCTCCTTTCTACCTTATCCACGACTCCTTTCTGGTTGTTGAGAATTGCCAAATTTAGTTCAATTGCTTACTTTATCTGACATCCTTGGAGATAAGGCTGCCAGGCCCATCTCCAGGTTCTATTTCGTTTCCCTCTGCTTCAAGTAAATTCTAACTCTTAGGTGGAGGCTTTTTTTGTTGTTCAAGTTGCTAACTGAATAGGTCTAACCACCTTTGATTGACTGATTGATTGACTGATAACCACTGTGGTCCTAGGCGATTTCTTTGTCACTGCTGTCAGAAGTGACTCCCTTCGCCTTGATTTCTGTATATGTTAATTTGTAAATATCTATTGAATCTATCTTTTTATGTATCTATCTGTTATTTAGTCTGTATCTCCATAGTTTCCCCAGAGTTTCGCTGAACAAAGGTTCAATCAGGACTTTAGATACCTTAAAAAATATTTTTTTTTCTTTATCTCTGAAGAAGGGGTTTCATAATTTCCACTTAGATTTTGTATTTTGTTCTGCTCCCCCACTACATACAGCCTGTCTCCACTTGTAGAACTTAGTGGTTAGGGTGGGTTTTTCTTTACAGGTACAGGTTGACATTACATTTGAAGTAAGACTGAATCACAGCCCTGCTTTCTCTGCTTTCTTTACAGACCTGCTTAGTACATGTTGTATTTCTGTGATTACAAGTGATTAGTTACATTGTCACATCCTAGTGACATGATTTTTAGATGCACATGCTCAATTTCCTCTCCTATGGGGAGGTTGGGTGGGATGGTATCCACTGCTACATTTGAAGGCTGAGTGTTGGGCTTAAAATTCCTCCACCCTCACCCCCTGCCAGTTGGTAAAATATAGAAGCATAAGCATTTTCTCAGGGCTTTCCCACCAACTTTTTCAAAAAGAATGGAAGATTCTAGTTAAGTGGATAAGTGGACCCTTGAACAACATGGGTTTGAAATGTGTCGGTCCACTTATATGCAGATTTTTTCCAATAAATGTACACTTGACCCTTTATATCTGCAGTTTGACCTCCCCTGATTCAGCCAACCTCAGATCAACGATAGTATTTTCGATCCATGGTTGGGAATCTGTGGATAGGAATCCTCAGATGCTGAGGCCAAGTGTATGTATTGTTCTACGCTATTTTGTATGAGGGACCTGAGCATACATGTATTTTGGTATCTGTGAAGGGCCCTGGAACCCACCACTCATGGATACTGAGGGACGACTATAGTTTTTGGGTAGTCAAAAGTTATATGCAGATTTTCAACTGTGCGGGGATTGGCGTCCCCAGTCCCTGCGTTGTTCAAGAGTCACCGGTGTTTCCAGGAGAGAAGCTTCACAGTTTTTGAAAAGGGGGAAGTGACAGCTTGATGAGATGAGTTGAACAGCTTCTTTTTTGAGCATTCTGTTCACTGCCAGGGCCTGGGAAGTGATGTTTTCCTGCTGTGGCAGCACATATCCTGACTTAGAGACAGGAATGGCCATATTCTCAAAACCTGAGATCATCTTACCATCAGAACTACTGAGGACTACGTGATAGTAACTTGGCAATGTAAAATGATAAGATCTAGCTTTGGATTTTGTTTGTTTTCTGACCCGCATCCCTTATACCACTTAGACCTTGGTTTTCTGGAATATTGGCATCTAACTTTGAAGTTGGAAAGAAACAGAAAATTGCAAGCTATAAAAAGTTTTATTTGGGGGGGGGTGGGTCCTGCTTTAATGTATTTACTCTTTTACCAAAGAAGTCGGGTGTAGCTGCCTTGGGTTAGCAGTTCTCCTGTACCCATGAGCCACGTGCGGCCTGCTGGAGCACTCTCAGTCGCTTCTGCCCACCACAGACCTCCTTCTGACAGGAGGTGACTCCTGTGGTTTGGTGTCACTGCATTTTTAGATGATTATTTTAATGCCAGGTCATGATCTGGTAGAGATGAGCATCCTGAAATCTTCATTACAATTGTGTATTCTTTTTGGAGGCGGGAAGAAACAAGGGGCTAAGGGTGAAGATGATGGAGGGAGGCAGGTAGAGACCAAAAGAACAATTGTGTACTTTAATGGCTTTGGCCATGTGATGGGCCCCTTTGTGGAAGAAGGGTCACGTTCTGTGGGGTTGAGTGTCTAGGATTAACTTTTAGAGCAGCCCTATACACAGTTTTGGATTTATGGTGAGTATTTTAGATAAGTTCGTGGGATAGGAAGCCTACTAAAGACTAAATTCTTGAGTCTCCATCACCCACCAGCTCCGGCACCAGCAGCAGCACCGCCGCCACCGCCCACCTTCTGCCGCTGCCACCAGACACTTTATCTTGTACTTGCCTCTTCTGCCCTTGCCCTCTGTCAACTATCAGGTCCGAAATGCCATCACATGTGTCCTTAGAAGAGCCAGGCAGAGAGAGATTAAAAACATGGAAGAGACGCCGCGGTGATTCTGGAGGCAGACTGAGGCGAGGTGGACGCTGACAGCCACCGGAAGCTGGAAGAGGCAAGCGAAGGCTTTTCTCCTAGAGCTTCCAGAGGGAGGGTGGCCCTGCCAACGCCTTGATTTCGGCCCAGCGATACTGATTTTGGACCTCTGGCCTCCAGGACGATGAGAGAATAAGTTGTTTTAAGCCACTCAGTTTGTGGCAATTTATTATAGCAGCCACAGAAAGATTACTAATACAATAAAGATGTCCCATGCAATCTTTGGGACATACTTAACACTAAGAAAAAAAAAAAAAAGACCAAATTCTTAGAATTCTACTCCAGATTATGGAAGTTTGTGGGAACATCTGTAATACAGCTGCAATAAAATTTGTTTACTTTATCAGGATTGCTTTAGAGGCTCAAACTGGTTTGTTTCCTGCTGTTTTCAGCATTTCTGCCACATGCCGAGAAAGAAGTTAGCATGGACTCCTGGTGGAATTGGGGGCATTCTAATGCTACTTTCGTGGCCGTTCTAATAATTACGGTTTTAAACTCATGCCTACTTGAAAGCTTTTATATCCTGGCACAAGACATGGATGGTGAATCCAGGATATCAAAAGATGGACGCATTCTGGAAATTAACACATTTTCCAGATGTTTGGAGAATGTAGGCTTGTTTTCCGTGCTGCTTTTTTCCCGTGTGTTCTTGTGTGCGTATCACTGTTTTTCTGTCTTTTTATAGGGAAGCCCCTTGGGGAAGGGAGGGTCTGCTTCTGGGCTAGGAAAATAAAATAGGTATTAAGCGTTTTCATGAAGCCCTTTGAGTAGGTATTGCCATTTCTGTGACAGAAAGAGCAGTCAGCTCTGTTCCCATGACGGGGACTGTTCGGAAGGGTGGTGTTGGGGTGAAATTCTATGGAAGTAACTAAAAACAGACTCATTCACATCTCTAGTGATTTTCAATTATGAAACGGGCCATCATGCTCTGAATCAGCTGCCTTTTAACCAAGCCTGACTAAATAGACCTTGGTTTTGAAATTCACAGCAGTGCCTAGATCCCTGCTGTCTTTTTGTTCATCCTGCTAACACGCAGCTGGTTTTGTTCATACATCATTTTGTGTTCGGCTGCCTGGTTGCTTCCTCAGGTCCCTTTTATGGTGAATAATGGACACATGGGAGTTTGAACACCCCAAGTGTGTGCTTATTCAAACAGGAAGTCTTAAGGAAGCGCAGTAACCTTGTCAGAGGAACAAAAGATGGAACTGGGAAAGGCCATTGATGATTCTAGGCTTCAAACATCTGCCGGGAAACATCTGACAATTTCGGAGATACAGACATTCTGCGGCTTCCAAATGGGATGGTTTGTTTGGAACTTGTTTCATATAAATAAACACACACACACACACACACACACATATATATGAATGTTTGGAGTATTAAACCCTCATCCATAAAACAGGCAGAAATGGAGGTGAAAATATCAGTACTGTGGCATCACTGGCAATTAAAACAAGAAGGAAGCTCTCTCTACATGTGGCGATGGCTGTGGATCTCAGGAGGGAAGTTGCAACAACTCATCTTTACTGAAGGAAACAGTGAGGCTGTACCAGGAACAAGCGAAGAGGTGGGACTGGGACTGACGGGGGCCTTGAGAGCTGGTGGGATTGCATTAAAAGATGATTTTATGCGGAGTTTTTGGTGATTGAGCACTGGAGGAATATGAGATAAAGAAGAATGTAGGTTCTACATAAAAAGCATGCATGCTAGTGGGAGGGCAAGAGTGTGTATACCAACAAGTACACTCTAGGATGAAACGTAAAGTGCCCTAAGAGAAGGGTAAAAACCCTCTGCGACTTCAAAGGAGATCTGAATAGAGTTGATCTAGATAAATGACAACTCAGAACATTTATCTGGTGACTTTTCAGATTCCTACCAGCTTTGAGATTCTTTGATTATAGTAGGATAGAGGACTTGTTAGAACTAGTCAAATAAATCCTGATTTTAGATTTCAAAGTGAAAATTAAATCTGGAAGTTAAAGGAAAGGGAGCTCCGGGTTGACAGCCATTCGTATTAAGCTCGTGGGATGCTGTAAATACTAAAGAAAAGATTTCCGTTTTAGGCTTCATTAATGGAAGCCATAGCAGTCAAATCAAAGGGGTGCGAGCTATGTTCATTGTATGATTGGAGCTCTGCCCTCAATTCTAGTTATAGGAAACATGTTCACATAGCATGGATGTTACATCTTTTCTAGATTCCTTTTTTTGTTGTTGTTCGACTCCAGGAAGATTTTATTGATTTCTGATTCCTCCAGCCTTCATAGCGCTCGCCATTATGTTGTTTGATGTTCATATCTTTATTCATTTCTAAAAATCACAAAACATTGCCTGCCCATGATGTAAGAGGTACTATAGTGTATTGTTTTCTCCATTTCTTCCATTAGACTGAGTTCATTGATGACAAATTGAATTTATTGATCCACCTGACAAATATTTATTGAGTGCCCATTATGTAAAAGGCACCACAACGTGCTGGGGACAAACTAGAGCTTCACTTCTGGGTGAAAAGCATGCAGTACAGAGGACCTGACCCAGAGAGGGGTTCTTTAGCTTTCTTTTTTTCCCAGTGGCTTTTATGTTCCTAGTGTAGAGCACGATGCCTTTTCTGTAGGTGCTCAAAAGTTTGCTGAATGAATGAGTTCCTATTTTCACCAAGGCTATGGCCAGAGAATGCAGATATAGGTGAGAAATAGTTTTGTTTAGATATTCCCTCTGTGGGGTTCGCCTTTTGGATAGGGCCATAGAAATTGGACAGGTGGAATGGGATGGCTAGTCCACGGTGCAGCTCCCTTACCAACGCTGTTAGGTAACCACTAAGCCACAGCAGCAAGGAGCCCCAACAATCAAGTAGTTTAAAAAACATTGACGTTTGTTTCTCGTTCAATGGTAGCCCTGAAGAAAGTGAGCAGCAGAGCAGCTCTGATCCACACAGATGTCCTGGGACCCAGACTCCTTCCCATCTTCATGGTCCACCATCTCTTAGGGTGTTGTCCTTATGTGTGGTGGCAGTTGGGTGACAGGCTCCTCCATGTCCCAAATAGGTGGATACTGCCAAGGAGTGTGTGGCCCTGTTCTTAATACTGAGACCCCCAAAGCGGCACCCATCATTGCATCATCTTCCACTGGAGAGCATGTAGTCACCTGGCCACCTCATGTATGCAGGGGAGGCTGGGAAATGTAGTCTAGCTGGGCAACCTGTGCCTCGCCACAAGTCTGTTACGGTGACAGAGGGTGGGTGAACTGGTTTTGGCACATGGCTCTGGCATGCCAACACTTCTCCTCTGGTGTTATACTTGCCAATCTTGCATAGAATCCTACCTCTCCCAAGTTTTGGTCTTCCTGGAGTGCCTTCTTCTAGTGGCTTCCATTCCATGGCTCGCAGTTGTAGGACCTGGATCTAGAAAAACGAACAGATGTGCTCTCTGTGGACCTCACACCCTGAGGCTTCAGGAGCAGAGCCTCTGAAGAAAAAGGGTGCACACTCATCCTGCTCTCCTCAGCGTGCAGCCTTTGCTCCCTACCTGTGCAGAGTTCGTTTTATCCTGAGACTTGACCAGTTTTCATTCCCGGGGTCCTCTCTTGGACCTGAGACCTCCCAGTACTGCTGTTGTGTACTTTATAGGGACGGGCTCTGGATCAGCGCCATCTTGGAGGAGCTCATCCCATGGAGGATCGTGATTTACTTGACAATACTGGTCACGCCTCCCTTCAGCTGTGACGGATGAAGCTATTTTAAAACCCTGATGTGTTTTAGAAATGAGAATTCCAGGAGGGATAAAACTGTGCCTATTGTTTGTACCACTTACTGGCCACTTGACCACACCGTCTTGTCCTGGAACCTTTTTAAGTGTGTATTTCTCTTTTTCTTCAATATGAGATCACGGTGGGCAGGAACTGTGTTTTAACCATTAATTAGGTCAGCAATTTAGAGCTGGATACTTGACTTATGGAATCATAGTAAGCATCGTGAAATGGGTGTGTATACAGAACACCCACAACAGTACCCCCCCCAATCAAATGCTTTCATATTGCTGCAGTGAATTGTATTCACACTTTAGGCTCATGAAAGGCCATAAGGACCTCATACTAGTTTAAGTCATGTTTTGTGGCCAAATGTCTGGAAACTCCTCTGCTGTTTAGTACTTTTTGACTTTAGAAACACAGGATTGCGAACTTGTGTCACATTGGCTTATGTTATACCACTTCTACAGATAGTGGTAATAGAGCTACAAAAGACTATGCAAAAACTTGGCACCCAATAGGCATTTGATAAATTGGCATTTGATAAATGAAATGAATAAAGTCCATGTAATAGGAACTTCTATTTCATTGAAAGGATGAATTTTAACAGGCTGATTCTAAGAATTTGAGTGGATGGGTTACTAAATTGTGGTAAGAAAATTTAGAAGTACGAATAGAGCATTACATAAATGTTTAAGAGAAGCAGTAGTGGTTGAATTCTAACAAAAAAATACCCAGTCTAAGAAAAAAGTATTTCCCCTATTTGGACATCAGTTCAGCTTTTGTTTTTGTGTGATTATATTTTGTAACAATGCAATTTCATCTCCAATGTCTATGTGTAGTTTTGTTAGGAAACTTGCTGTGTTAAAGCCATTTCATTTGAGAGACTTTTTGAATCGGAAGTTAATTCTGAAATTATTTTTCTCTGAAGTAGATCGTTTATTTCAGTGATGTCTGTGTCACACTTGATGCATCTCCCTATCTATCTACTTACCTATCACAGCTTTTTCTTCTTTCTGTCCAGTTGTTACAAATCAGTGCCTCTAAAGAATCACTCTTGTGGAGGGTGACTGTATAAATGGTTATAAATGATCGCTTTGCCTGTAGTGTTCTCTCAGCTTGGTTTTTGCTTTCTAAAAGATTGTCCTTGAATTATCTCCTCCCGCCCCCCTT